GAGAAGAGGCCGAGAAGGCCGTCGCGGCCACGGCCGCTCGGGGCCGTTTGGCCGCCGCAGGGCGAGAAAGCGCGCGCGCCGAGCGTTTCCCCCCGGGGCCTGGGCGCGCGTCTGGCGGCGGAGAGGAGGGGCCCAGGGCCGCTGAACGGGGGCCACTAGAAGCCGATGGACGGGCCCGGGGGCAGTGGTTTTCCAACGAGGGGCCACGATTCGGGTTACGACGCGATCCCGATTGCTCATGCGTGGACAAGAGCAGACCCTATGGGCCACGATAGAGGAGCCCTGGAGGCCGAGCTTCTCGATTTCCTGCGCGCGAGAAACTGAGACTGGATGCGCAGGACCCAGGTCGCATCACAGGGGCAGTTGGCGCGGAGGCCGAGGGCCCCCCCCGCCCGAGGCGCGGGGTCACGAGGGGCCTGCTGGACAGGGGGCCACGGTGCCTGTGCCAGTTCGTACTCCAGCCAGGGAGCCAGAGGCCCCCGAACCGGCGGTCGCCGCAGGGGTCGTCCCAGAGCCCCCTCTGCTAGATCACGCGTGCACGGGTCAGCCCATCGCGATTTCTGGCGGCAGCCTGTCGCCAGGTATCGGCTCAGGGGATCACGAGAGCACAGGGGAGTCAGATCTCCGAGAGATGTTTCAGGCCGCGGGAGGGCGACCCTCTCCAGGATTTGAGCTGAGTCCAGCCGCGCGACGAAATCCCGACCCGAGCGCCCCAGTGGAAGAGGCCACCGAAAGGCTTGGGAGGGCGAGGGGGGCGTGGGCGGAGAGAGAACGCGACGTGCGAGCACGCTTGATGACGGACGTGCCTCTGTGTCTTCGTGGACAAGAAACCCGTCGAGTGCGCCGGGCAGCTTTCGTCGCGCCCGACCTGCTGATGGGCGAGGCGAGGCGAATCCCGCCGCTCGAGAGGGTTCCAGGTCTCCCCTGCGCGAGACCCCAGCAGGGCAGGACGACGAGATTGTGTCCTGGCACTCCGAAAAAACATGGGGGACATGAGCAGCGAGAGGATATCTGGGGGGAGCCTTGCTCACGGTTTCGTTATGACTCGGAGTTTGGGACCTGCGGGGCCGGCGACGGTTTCTCCACGTCCATGGGGAAAGGAAAGGGGGGCGAATCACCGTCTCGCCTGGGCGCCGAGTTTTCTCTCGAGCCTCTCTCTGAGGCAGAGAGGCAGCTGTTTAGATTGTCCGACGCCGAGGAACGGCGCCCATCGTTCTGGGGCGGTTCGAATTGTTTCGGCCCCCGAAGCGACGTCAGTGAGAAGGAGGCTTCCGGATGGGATCCCGGGGTCCCCAATTGTGAGATGGTTTAAATTTCATGAATGGGCGGGATCCAGGGTGGCCGCGAAATCGCGCCGGCGTGTTCAGGGTCATCATTACCCAGACAATGAGGCACTTCACGCGTACGCTCCTACTCCCCAGTCAGAGAGCACCATGCCAACTCTCCGGGCGATTTGCTCGTTAGGCTGGGAGTTGCAGATCGCAGACTGCAAGGGTGTTTTTTGCCAGTCGGACAGGCGTCATCGCCCGAAAGGCCCCGTCTTCTGCGAACCATATCAGGGGTTCAATCTTGCGCCCGGCGAATTGATCGAACTCATTGCACCGGCGCGCGGACTAAATGGCGCGCCTTTGTTGCGGCGCCGCACGCATGCCCAGTGGCTCTTCCAATGCGGTTTCCCCAAGTCCATGGTCCTCATTGAAGTGGACAGTCTTATAGCCGGTACTTCTCCCCAGGAGCAGGAGGACGTCAGGGAGCGTCTTCAGAAGAGGTTTCGTCTCGGAAATGGGAGTCCGGGGAGGCCGATTTCGCAAGTTGACATTCGTCAAGTGGGGGGTCGGATTCTGGTCGATCGACAGCAATGCGCGATAGAAAATTGTACCCGCATGAGTCTCACCAAGGAGTGCCGAGCCGAACCAGACTCTCTATTGGATGCTAGGGAAGCCCAAAGATTTCGGACGATGATCGCTGACATCCAGTGGCTCGGGCGGGAGAGTAGACCGGATGTGGCGGCGGGCGCTTCTCTCCAGAGCGCAGCTCTCCTTAGTCCCACGGTTGCTGACGCCATGCTACGCTTGAAGGTTGTGCGCCATTTGAAGAGCGCAGCCAGTCGACGAATCGCGATTCGACCGTTGGATCCCTTGACCGTCACGATCGCTACGATATCCGACGCTGGGGGGGCCGCGGTCAGTTCCAAGAAATGGTGCCCGAGGAGGCTGGATGGCGCTGGCGGCTGGCGCTGCCACTCGTCAGGAACAGCGTGCACGAGTCTCACTGCTCAGCCTCAGTTGGCGCTTCGCTCATCTCAAGCGGGTAGTAGCATCCACGGGAGCTGCCGAGACTCTGTCACTGTCGGCGGCCTTGGCGGAAGCACAGTGGATCTCAATCCTGTGGAGAGATCTCCTTTTTGCCGATGTTTCGAGGCCAGTCTGGCATCTGTCCCAGTCTCCGTTCTCTGTCGCGTTGTGCCGTGACTGCGTGCAGTCCGAGGGGATGGCGTCACTCTCTGTCATGGACACAACGTCCGTTTTTGATGCGCTATCCCTCAACTCTGCCAGCTCTCGAGCAGACAGGAGGAACGCTATCGAACTTGCAGTTGTGAGGGATAGTTTGAGTGCGATGGGGAGTCAGGTCAGGTGGGTTCCGTATGGCCGCACGGCAGCACATGCGCTGACCAAGGCCGACCCTTCCCGTGGAAATTCTGCTCAGTGTGATTTGTTATCTCGAGGAACGATCATTCTTGTGGATAAGGAGGGTGACCTGTCCGAGCGGTCCTCAAATCCAAGTCTAGGGAAGCCTCCCGGGACGCGTTTCAGAAACTACAGGAGGACGATATTCAGCCAGGGTCCGAAGACGGGGGGTGTGAGGCATTCGAGCTGCTATGTCACAATCACTGAAAGTAATCCTGCTGATGTCGTGTCCCACTCATCCCCTATGTGTCTGTCATAGCCGTTTAGGCTTGGCGTCCGCCATGCGACGGACGCATATGCACTGGCCACTTCTCGGGCGCTTTGCAGAGATAAGTTGGTGCCCACCTCCCCTCCATATCCGAATTTCACGTCGTCGTCGTGGTCGTCGTCGTCGCCGTCAGTCGAAGATCGAGGTCCGATGATGGATGCGTTTTTTCGTGTTATGGCCTTCTATGGATTTTGCGGAACCCCTGTGGTTGGAGGCATGTCAGAAGCTCGTGCCATGGCTCCGACCCCCCAAAAAATGAGATGTGCGGTTTCCGATGTCTTATTTGTTGTTTGCCGTTTCCTGTCATGCTGCTGGCGTGTCGTTGTCGTTGATCCGTCCTCCTCTTCCTCTGCGTTTGTTGCGGGGCGTCTTGGGGATTTCTGGGGGGGCGTGGGTGACGGCTTCGCGGAGGCTCTCCAAAGCTCATGGGGGCTTGTGGAGGTTCTGTACGGCAACACTTGGAGTCGTCCTGGGGTCCATCTTGTAGGAGGCGGCTCTGCAGGCTCCCCCTTTCGGCGCTCCCTTTGCAGGCCTTTTTGGCCGGCCGTCTTGGGGCGCGCTCGGACCGCGTCTGGGCCTCGGGGGGGCCTCTTCGGCAGGTGTGGGCGACTTTCTGGGCCGTTTTGGATATGCAGGAGCTCGAGACGGCGAGAACGGGAAATCATTCAAACCCGGTTGGGGCAATCATGTCTGTTCTGCTTTCTGAGGCCCCCTCTTGGGCCCTCTTGGGCCGTCTTGGGTCGTCTTGAGTCAGAGGCCATCTTCGTTGTTCTTGGTGCCAAATCGGAGTGTTGGAGTCTCACTGGAGCCGTCATAGACGGCATCTTGGGCACCTTGGCAGCCCCGTCGGATTGACCCAAAATGGGGTCCAGCGACAAGGGGGTTGCGCAGTAGATTTGGTGCAATAGGCTTGTGGTGGTGCAGTACGTTTGGGGCGCGTAATACATTCCAGGGCGCAATGTACTGCTGGATTTTCGCGTACAATACATCAATTGCAATACAATGCCATACAACTCTATGGCGCAATACATCTGCAATCCAATTGCCCCAAATCTATTGCACCACCCCCTTTCAGCGGGAGCACCTTTCGGGCCACCCAAAGTATACGCGCAAACCCATCCAGAAACGAGACCCAGGCGAGAGGACCTGATTAGGCATGTTGGGGAGCACGCAGTGGAACAACAGCTGGGGAACCGTTATACCCGTCATACCCCAAGAGGGGGAGGATGGAGGAGGAATCACAAGAGGAGGATGAGAAGCGGAAGAAAAGGAAACGGAGGAGTAGACGGAGGAGAGGAGGAGGAGGAGGGGGAGGCGGAAGAGAGAGGAGGGAGGAGGGAGAAGAGAGGAGGAGGTTCAGGCGTTTTTTTTTTTCCTCTCTCCGCCGCCGAAGCCCGGGCGGATCGGGCGCGGCTGGGCCCGGCTGGACCCGCGTCCCTCAGGCCGTCTCTTCCTCCTATTCACGCGTCCTCGCACTCCTCGGACGCTGATGCTGACGCTGAGAAGGATGACGTATCTTTCCACGCGGCCTGTGGCGCCCTCCCGCTGGAGGGTGCGAGCTCTGCGGCGTGCCTCGCCGCTGACCCCCCCCCGCCTTGTACACTGTAGCGCCAGGGGGGGAGGGAAATGGAGACCCCCTCACGGTGAGGTGGGGGCTGAGCGTGCGCCGACCGCGAACTGGCAAGCACAAGCCGAGCAAACTCGGCGGGAGGCCCCACCCACCGCTTTATTATGGTGTGGGTGGGCGAAACCTCCAAAAAGGAAGCTGGGGCCGATCCTAGAGCGGCCTTAAGCCAGTGGCGACGGAGGAGGAGCACATGCAGTAGAGGGAGGCTACGCATAGCGAGGCAACCCGCTGTTCTCTCGAACGTCTACGTTTCCTCTCCTCTCTCCGCCTCCGAAACCCGGGCGGATCGGGCTTGGCTGGGCCCGGCTGGGCCCACGTCCCTCAGGCCGCCTCCTCCTCCTTCTCCTCCTTTTGAGGAGTGTTGTGGAGGCCGTGGGGGCCTCCCTGGAAACCCTTGGGACACCCCTGCCGTGACCAGGAGTCCGTGGGCCCGTCGGGCACCGTCCCCGTGGAGTGCGGGCGCTACGACGTGGACCTGAGGGACAGGAAGCTCAGGCGTCGCCGATTTCCCCAGGATGAGGTCCCTGCATCAGTGAAACGGGCCTGGAGGAGAAGGGTCCGCCTGGAAGTTGTTGCCGCGTTCTGGGTTCTTGGACCCGTTTGTGGCCCTCCATGGGTCCCGGCACCGTCACATACAAACAATTCAGGATGAAGGACAGGTCTTGGGAAAAGGCCCTGGGGCCTCATTCTAGGACCAGTTTCCCTACGGTCCCTTTTCCCTTAAGGCCACCCTTCCCTTCCCTCTCCTCCTCCTCTTCCTCGCCGTCCTCCCCAGAGTACGATCGAGACCCTGACTGTTGAGCAAGGGCATGAGAAGAGCTTGGGTAGGAAAGCAGCCCGCCGTGCCCAGTCTAGGCCTCCTGCTCCGTCTGTCTGTGTTATGTTCTCGTCTCAGCATCTGCTCTGCGACACGAATGATGGTAAGTGTAGTGGGTGCAAGGGTACAACCACCAAAGCGAAGCGTAAGGACTGGCTAACCTCCTCCTGCTTTGATCCAATCAATGTGGACGGAACCCCATTTGAAAACCCTCCTGGGCGGCGGGTGCACATTTCGGGGCGGGGTGGCCGATCCAAATCACAAACTCAGGCATCACGCGGGATTGGGGGTCTGGTTCTGTCTAGCGTGCGGGTTCTATGCAGCTCAACAGCTTAAAGAATTAACGAAGCCATGTATAAATCGAGTTGAGGATAATCGCACCGATTACGTCAATCGGATTCCTAAGGGTCTTTGACCCAAAGCTTTCAGCAAAGCTGAGCTTGCCAAGAAGCAGGAATTCCGTGTTCAAGTCAGTAATTTCCGACCTAGTCGCCACACCCAGACTTCCAGAATTCCTCCTCCTCCTCCACCTCCTCCTCCTCGGTGCGGGAACCCGTAGCCATTGTGGCTCAAGCCTAAACGTTGTGAAGGGCTATAGACGCCCGAGAACCAACGATTCGTTTTGGCTGTCCGCCGCAGCCAAGGCTCAGACCGTTCTGGCCACGAAGATTTTCGAGACCATCGAGCACCAGCTGAAAGCGACGGAGGAGAGCAGCAACGACCAGGAGGGGATCAAGGCCGAGGGGCGAGCTGACGACGAAGACCCACGCCCAAGGGTGGGCCAGGATCCTGAGAGGGAGCCTATCAAGTCTGAGGGCCCCCCAGATGCCTCCGCCCACCCTGTCCCCAGCGATGATGACGCGCAGATGGAGGCCGCCAGGAAACGCGCCGCCGAACAGCTCGTCAGTTGCCAGGCCAACGCCGACAAACAGGAGCTCCTCGGCGAAGAAGCCAGCAAGAAACTCAAGTTCACGGCGGAGAGTGCTGCTGCCCAGCATGCCGCAGAGCGCCTTGCGGCCCCAACGCGTGGGTAGCAACATCCGCTTCATTACCATCAACAGCAGCTTTTGTCCGCAGGCCAAAGATGTCAAAGAGTACATCAGCCCTGAGCACGCCGCAGATGACCGGATCATCTGTGCACAGGAGGCCAAGCTGTGCACCACACAATTCATCATTTCTGCCTGTCAATGGTGTGAGCGACATGGACGGAAAGTTTTGGTTGAGATGGGGGCATTCAGTTCTACGGGGACCCCGTGAGCTGCAGTTTGTGGTTTGATTAAGGATGGTTTTGACTTCGGGATCCAGGACATGAGAATCCCAAGGGAATCTCAAAGAGTTCTTCCACAGGGACGCCTGGTTGGTGCCAGAGTAGAGCTGCCTGGGCTTGGTACCATAGGAATTTTATCCGTGTGCATGCAGGCTGGCACCGGTCTGAATGAGACCAACTTGAACGTGTTGGCGGCCCCATACCGACATTCATAACAGGTGATTTCAATATGAGCCCCACTGAGTTCAGCAAGCACGATTTCACACAGCGCGCTGGCATGCAAGTCATACACCCCTCCCCCCCCCACGTGCAGAACCAAGACCTCCCAGAGATGTTTGGATTATTTGGCTTATAGTGGATGTCTGCAACATGTGCTTCACGAGCCCCAAGTGCACGCAGCATGCCCACTTCCCCCGCGCCGCCCTGCTAGCATTTGTATCGAGGTTGGCGAGAATTGAACAGCCTTTGTTTTTTGCAAGCTCGCTTTTGGGCCCAAGCTGCCAGAGCGAGCGCGGATAGCCACGGAAGCAGCGGTCGACGCTGCAGAGGTGATCCTTAATAACGAGACTACCACGCCGATCCAAGGGGAAAGCTATGTTACCTTTGATCAAGTTTATCACTTCCAGGCAAGGGGCCTCGAGGTTACGGCTGTGCGGATTTGGCGGACCCGGTTTTGAAAACGAGTTCTCGGCCCAGGGCACTCCCCCGCAGGGTCAAGTGGGTCCAAGCGAGACAACGTTTGAAAGAACATCGAGTTGCCTGGGAGTCTCGCGCTGGACCCCTACGCTGGCTTAGGAATCTCGCGCAGCAGCTTTACTTCAAGTTAGCGAAGTTCGACGCTGCCGACCTGATCGGGATTACCGAGTGCCTCGAGGATTTACTTACAGAGTTTAACGAGTCAGAGTTTCTCTCCGAGTGCCTGGGGCCTACCCGCCAGTGCCTTAATTTCATAGTTTTGATCGTGAATGCCAAGGTCCTGGACCCCGACCTGGAAAGAAAAGCCTTGGATGACGTCTTGGAAAAAGTGAAGCTTCTGGAGCAGGAGGTCGATTTTGAAAAACGCGATGCTACACATGCTCGGCGCGAGCGGGTGACGGTGGGCACGCAAGGCAATGCCGGGTGGGCCCACAAATAAACAACCCAGACGCTTTGGAGCTACAACGAAGTCTCCAGGAAAGGCATCTGGACGGGTCGACCCTCGAGATTGTTGGAATTCGAGGCTGAGCGACTCAGTGGCCCTTGGGATGCCGAGGTAGACGGCCGCGGCGCCATGTGCCCCCAGGACCACTCGAGCCATATTTCCCCCCCCCCCAATCGAGCCCCAGGACCTCATTGACGCAGCAAAAAGGTACTCACACGCAACGGCCTCGACTTGGGGCCGATTTCACCCGAAGCATTTTCAGAGCCTGGCGCTTGAACGAGCCGGTCTAATTTGTCGTTTTCTGCATCTCGTCGCGAAGATAGGTGCTACGCCCGCCCGGTTGCAAGCGATTGTCTCGGTCTTGACCCCCCAGTCAAAAGCCAGAACCGCCCAACAAGCTACTGCCCAGTTCCTCAGGACATGGGACGACGCCAGGGGCGCACAGAATTTGGCCCAAGGTCCGACAGAGAGAAGCCCGACGATGGGGGGCACAGCGCCGTCGCCCGTTCTTAGCCCACCGGGCGGGACAGAGTATCACCGAAAGTGTTTTACGCCAGAGTCTCAGGAGCAGCGCTGCGGGACCTCGGCCACTCAGGAGCTGCGGCTGCGGGGCCTCAGCCACTACTGCGAGCGCACTAATCGCCAGAAGCTGATAGAGAGGGCCCACGACGTAGGCTTCCGGGGCGCCCTCCTGGAGGTCATTTTAAACCAGCGCAGCAGCGCGGGATTGGTTGCTACCCGAGACCTGGTCCAACTTGTGGGCCGCCTACCCGAGGCATTTCAGCTGGTTGTTGACGGGCGACCTTTCGAGTTCAAGTTTACAGCCCGGGCCCGCTGGGCGCCTGGGCCCTCGGATCCCCGGGGCACGGACCTGCTGATGTTTATAGGCGACCTATTCCTAGGACAACGACAGTGCGATCCGCAAGCCCTAGTCCGACAGTAGCAACGCTCCGCGGCTAGGCTCGCCATCCTTGTGCAGGAGGGGTTAGATTGCAAGCTCGCGTTGCAGAAGGCCCAGGTCATAGCTGACACCGCCAGACTGCGTGCACTCCTTCGGAAGGCCCTTGGGGAATGCGCAGGCCCGACTGATGCGCGCGTAGCCACCAATTTGGGCATAGACAGCTCCGCGGAAGCCTCGCATCTTAGAACAAAGACAAGACTTGCCAAGGCCACCCTGTACAAACGCTTTGTTGGACACCTGAAACAGACGTCACCGTATACAGGCAGTAAGGATCGCGGGAGGGGACGCGCGTAAACTCTGGAAGACGGGGCTTCAGCAGGCCCTTACTCATGGCACGGAAGTGATTGGCGTTGACCTTCGAGAGCTCCAGAACCTCCAGACTGAGTATCTTAAGGTGGCGGGCCCCCGTTTTGCGGCACGCCGTCGATCTTTGAGCCTGGCGGCGCTAGGAGACCCCGCGTGGAGAGCGGGCCCCGGGCCCGCCTTGACTTGGACTGCGATGGTTTGGCGCGCTGCGACCCGACCGAGTCGTCCTCGGGAACTCCTCGAATTGAATGCCTTCGCTGAGCCCATCCACCAGGTTCCTCCTTCCGAATGGGCTGCCGAAAGAAGCCCCTTTGGGGCTGCTTCATTTTCCCTGCGTAGAACTGGCTGGAGTTTTTTTGTTGGCTCGTCGATCTGCAGGATGCGAACGGAGCCCAGCGTCCGCTTGCAACCTGCACGCCCAAAATGATTTCGCAAAAGATGCAGGAGGCCTGGGGGCAGGTCGCCCGCGGGAAGGCAGCCCAGAAGCCAGGGCGCCCCTAGGGGTCTCTACGTGTGGACATAGCTAGGACAATAGTGGCGGAGGCTACCTTGCCCAAGACAGAACGCCAGAACCACCACTTCGTTTTCTCACCCAAAGCATTTGGGCCAACGCGCGCCTGCAGAATGCGGGCCACGATGCAGACGTCCGATGCCAGCGTGGACATGCTAGAGATGATGGAAAGCACCGCCTCCTGCACTGCCATCCCAGTGCCGCCCTTAGGGGGGCCTTCTACGGCAGACGAGCATGGCACGATTTCGAGAGCTCCTGATCTGGCTTTAGCGCGCGGGTATCATTTCCAACCTGAATTCGGCAATTGGGCCCCTGAGGGGTTTTGGGTTTGAATACGCCGAGCTTTGGTGCAGAGACCCTGGCCTTAGGCCTGAGGGGGCCCTGGCTGGGGGGCTTTGCACGGGCGGATCCTGCTTGAAACCAGGAGGCCGCGCAGTTTATCGCAGCGGGCTGGTCGGCCATATGGGCGCGGAGTAGTTCTTGCCTACTTCG